ATTCATAAACCTTACTTTAAAATCATAAGTTAAGAATGAAGCCCACACTCTTAGGCAATTCGATGTCTTTTTCTGATTTCACCGTTAAGCAAGTCTTCCTATATAATCTATTCAATACCCTAAGGAATTCCTTCAAATCCTCTTTGCCATGCTGCCAGAAAGCAAACTAGTCATTAATTGTTCTGATCAAAAGCTTAGGAGCTAGAAGTGTACATTGATACTATATCAAATCTTACAAGAAAATCTTCCTGTTCTATCAATTGCCCATCTACTAGCTTAATGAAGTCATAAGAATTCGTTCTTTTTCTCGCAATACTGCACTTATAGGTCCAACATAATCCTTCTTTATTGCCTAGTGAAGCCAACTTGCGAATCTCTTCCGCTCGCATTTTAAAACAAAATAAAAGGTGAACCAACATGAGAAAATAGTCGTAATGAGCTGAGATTATGAACTCTATGGTAAATGCCGATCTTTACCTAAATCTAAATGCTTAGAAATTTTTCTTGTCAGTACCTATTCGTGCCTGTTCTGAGGCAAAGATCTATTCTACGACCAGATATGAAAGGACTACTGGTAAGTTGCTTCAACTTAAAATCAACACATTTGGTCATTAAGGTGATTTCCTTCGGGTGGATTTTGAACACTTTCACCACAACATGATTGAGCAATGCACTTACAACTGATGTTGACATATAGTTATTAGTTAGGTTTGGTGCTCGTGGTTTGTGTAAAAGTGTAAAAACAAACACCAGCTATCACCTTGTCTGCAAGGTTCGACAGTCACTTCATCGTCTAGCGCTTCTAGAAGCTCCTCGGCTGCCCTTCGAATGTCGTCGGCGTCTGCCCTGCCTTTTCTTGCTTCAGCCTTTTTGTCTAAATCTCGTAGGCTACACTCGGCCGGGATCGCTAATATCTCATCATCTGCTCGGATTGGCCTCTCGGCCGCATGCATGTCAACCTTTTGCTTTACTCCCGTCACAATCATGTCGAGGACTCCTTCCCGCGTCAAATGTTCTAACAGTCCAGCTTGCCAATCCGCAGGTTCTACCGATCCATCCGGCTCGAGAATTTTGACTTCACCAGATACTGTCTCTTCTGGCTGGAGGCTCATTGAGGCCGGTTCCTCATTTGGAAGAACCAGTGCATTGCTCATCTCCGGATGTTCTTCATCAATCCGTTCTTAGTAAAATTTGGGGGGGATAAAGATAGAATAACAGCGACTAGTTATAAGCAATACTTATAAGAGAACGACTTATCATAGTAGTTAATATAAACAAGAAAGAGGAAAATATCCACTCAACATAGAATGAGTTTACTACGGCGAAAGGATAGAACCGAAAGAAAGACACGTATAAAGAGAGGGTCATGCATGCTACGGGGAAGCGTGCAAAGTATTGAGGTTTCATTCACTATGACATTCGGTGCCGCTTGAACAACTAGGGTAATGTGGAATTGTAGCTTCATACAAGCAAGAAGTTGGGTAGAGTTTAGGGCAAAGCAAAAGCTATATATATATATATTTATTAACGAGCTTTCCATAGCATATTTTTTAATATTGTAACAAATGTGTAAACTGTCTACTTGCAACAGTGACAAATTCGAGCCCGAAGCCCTAATATCTGACTACATTCGCTTCAAGGCTACATTCGTTCACGAGAAATTGAGATGAGCGAAGAATACATGTCCCTAGTGCATAAAAACATACCCACGATGCAAAGATTTGGTTGTGTGAACTTGTCGGGTTGTTAGTTGGGGTTATGGAAGGGGAAAGAGACATTAACCGGACAGATGAGGCTCACCGATTTGGGGGAAAAATTCATTCGGATCCACAGCAGCGTTGGCCCAATTTGTTATAGCACGACCTGAACGAGGTGATTAATTGTTAGTAAATAAATGCACAGAGAAGGCCTACAGATTAGTGCTAACATCAGCAAACAGACGGTCTTTTTACAAGAGATAGAGGCAATTGGTATTTGCAGGTAGGAAAATTTGCTGTTTGGTTCAAAGGAATGTGGATATATGTAGTATTAGATAATACGAAATAAAATGGAATATGATGACGAAGTATCATGGAATGATTTCCCCTTGTGATTTGCCAAGAGTGCGACACTTTTCAGTCGTCTTAGCAACCCCAGCGGGACTCATACCCAGGCTGGTGGGACATGGGGACAAAACACTGGGCCTATAGCACAAGCTCTTTTAGCTCTTAGGGAAACATGCAAAAAACACATATTCTTTTAAAGCCACCGCTGCTCTGTCAGTATTGTTAGGCATACTGCTCTATTTTAACTTCAGGGTTTATGTTGCTCAGCATCTACCCTCTAGCGCAAGCCAAAGTGTCAGAAGACAATAGAATATTGGACACGAAAAGAAAAGTTAGCCATTCGGATGAAGAAAGAACTTATCGTGCTTGTGATTGAGTATAAAATGTGTAGTCAAATATGCCATTAATGAGGATGATGCAAAATTATCGTAAACGAATAAATAACAAAATAATCTTATAATTGACTTTTTATGTGCGATGCACAGGATGAAAGAGAATACGCCCTATTTTCTGCATTCAGACCATCTGCGACGAATGAATAAATGAAAATTCGGATGTGGAAAGGAAGATTAACACCACTAGGAATCACGTGCCAACGGTCCCACCTGTAGCTTTTGTAAGTCCACCGGCTAGGCCTACGCTTGAACCATCGAAGGGTGCCTTGGCCTGGTGCTTGTGTCGAACCGGTGAGGAGCTTGCGGATCCTTGTATTTCAAGCTTTTCTTCAGTTGGCGTTGCCGGCTCAGCTGCCTCCGACGGCTTGCAAGCGGCTGGCGATAAGTCAGAAGAAGCCTCGGACAATGTCATTGCTACAGGCTTGCGGTCAATGATCTCAGTTGCTAAAGCACGCTCCTCCTCAGTCAATAGAGGCTGAATATTCATCATACTCGGATGAATGGCGTCATCACGGTTTATTGTATGCAGGGCTTCCGCTATATGATTGCCTATAAATAAAAGGAATAGCATTAAGCATTATATACATCAATTAGTTTTCCCATATGCGTAACGGACACCAAAGATTTTGCAGACTGCTAGTTGAGCATAAATGCGGTATGGACTAGCTGCCATGGCTACCAAACAGGGCACGCTATGTTCAAACGTTCATTTTAATGGGTTTATACAGGGAGGTTTCTAGTACATAACTTACTAATTTATAATATGCTAATCGAGGAACCATTGCGCGAACACAAACTGCTATCCTAACCTAAGGTCGGACGATCACTACTAGTTCAAGAACGATGCAGCTTTTCCTACTGTAGAATATGGAAGGAGTATATGTTGAAAGGAATTTTAAAGCTACACAATTTTTCCCATGCACTTTTTTATTCAAAATAACAACAGTAGGTTTTCGTTTATTTAAAATATTCAGTTGAAAGAAACTATCTTTATTGACTGCACTTCATACTAAAGGAAAGGTAATGTTACATCTATAATTTGGTTGCATTGGTTCCAATGAAGTACGTATATGAGATGAGGGTCTGTTTTCCGTCATCCAATTTAAAAATATCCGAAGGATAATTGAGTTACATGGAATCTCGTAGATTTCATTTGCTGAGCGCCTTTCAATTTCGATTCAATTGTTAGAATAGTTCTCTTACCTAATGATGTCTGTAATTCGACAGACGAAACCTCATGTTTTTAACGGCATCAAAAGAGATCACATAAAGGAT